TTAATAGAAATGCACCTTTTCATACGGACTACAAAATTAAAGAATATTACAAAATCAAGTGGGCGAGTTTTCCTTATATTTATTTTATTTTTCATATAAAAATTATAATGACCTGTTTTGGTTATATTTACTATTAATTGCAGAAGGTGCGCTCAGCAAAAATGACGCGAATATTGATGATTTTCACGCTTAAGTCAAGTAAAAGACCGCTTCTTAAACCAGAGAAGGTTTTTTCAAGTTAAAAAGTCATAATTGAGAGATATAAACGGGCAATTCTGAGAAATAAAATCAGAATTGCGTGATATAAACTCACAATTCAGACTTTTTTTCTCGCAATTGCGAATTTATATCACGCAATTCTGACTTTTTTTGTCAGAATTGTGATATATAAACTCGCAATTCTGAGAACATATCAGTCTTTTTTCTCCCTCAAAATTGGATTTATAAACTCGCAATGGCGAGTTAATCTCACAATTCTGAGAAAAAAAGTGAGAATTGTGAGAAAAAAAGTCAGAATTATGAGATATAAACTCGCAATTGCGAGAAAAAAGTGAGAATTGCGAGTTTTTCTCGCAATTGTGACTTTATATCTCGCAATTCCGACTTTATATCTCATAATTCTGTGGAATAAAGTCAGAATTGTGAGATAAAAAGTCGCAATTACCTTTTTTTTTTTTAATTCAGTGGCAGAAACGGCTTCCATACCTTATGCTATGGAGTCTCTCTCTCTTTTTTTTTTTAGATTCCTCAGTGTTTGCTAAACGTTCTGTAATTTATGAGTCATTATATAGCCTAATACAGTGTGTAGACCTATGCCATGCCTCATCTTATTCGTTTGTTAATAACGTTTTGTAAGCTAGTTTGTCATTGAATACTGTTTTTTTGTTGTTGTGCATTTTTATTAAAAATAATGAATCCATCTTTTTTGTCTTAAAAGGTGAAAGGTCTATAGATGTAAGCAAAACAGACAATTTTGATTGTAAAACCTGACACGATCGTGAAATCGAAAGTGAAAGCATCCGAAGCCCGGTTTATAACATGTCAAAAGAGGAACTCCTGTTCACAAAATTCAAATCACAAATAATACTACTGATGAAAAAGAACGGGTTGAATATTAACTACTTTCGTTTCCATATAACTATAAACTATGATAAAAGTTCATCAGCGTGCATTGATTAACAGCATGTTGTAGCGCAAAAAAAAAAAAACCCTGCTCGTGCAACCAACTGAGAAAGTTAATCGCAAAAGAGCGACCGGTGGGAAGAATGAGTCTGGAGCGCTGAATTGCCCAGCTCCCTCTGTTAATGATCACCCCCTCAGCACCTGCGTTCATAATTCTCTGGCGCTGCCCCTGGTACATCGATGTATTTTTGAAAAGCAAAAATTAAGTTTGTTCAGCTCTAAACCCAGTCCCCGAGTAAATTAGGTTATTATAAAAAACTAGCAAAACGAGTCCCCACCACCTTTCAAAGCAAAGTTACACCACTGGAGAAAGGTATATTCACTCGACAAGCTTCCACATCTGCGCCGCGCTCAAGCCACTCAGCGTGCTTTGCTTATCAGCTCGCGCACATCACTTATACAGTCAATACTGAATGTAGGGCTGGGCGGTATAACCAAAAATGTACATCACGGTATTTTTCAAAATTATACCGCTTTCACGGTACATGACGGTATTTTTTTTCATGCATGACCGTGTGTTAACCATAATTTCTACTGATTGAGTGAGGAAATACTGCAGTATATTGACTTAGAATGCCCTATTTTACTGTCATGATGAGTGAATAGTCAAAAAATACCACACTAAATAGTGAAGTGAAAGTGAAGTGACGTGACATGTGGCCAAGTATGGTGACCCATACTCAGAATTAGTGCTCTGCATTTAACCCATCCAAAGTGCACACACACAGCAGTGAACACACACACACACACACACACACACACACACACACCGTGAACACTCACCCGAAGCAGTGGGCAGCCATTTTTTGCCATAAAAAGACATGAATGAACATGCATAGGTAAAAACAACAGATTTTTTAAATCACCAATACATTTTTAGTTTTCAGGATTTTTTAACTTTCATGCTTAGTAACACATACAGCTGTTCCTTCACCACAGTGAAACAGTGAAAAGGGACCCCTTTCAAACAGTGTCGTGTTCCGAACGTTGTTTAAGCGACATACACCGGTATTGCGGTATTTTAAAAATTCATATCATACCAAAAATAAACACCGGTATTTGGTATGAACCGGTATACCGCCCAGCACTAACTGAATGTTTAACATTATATTCATTGCATACATATACTTCGTAGACATCATTAATCTCTAATAACTCCATTCTGCTGTCTGTTGTTGGTGTTTCATTGTCTGTATATGGCACTTAACACATGCTGTGTGGTATTGGCGTTTGGTATCGGGGCATTTTAACGAGTACGAGTACAGGAGCTCAGTATCGGGCCCGATCCCTAGTTTCGGTGCATGTCTCTTTAAATGCTAAGGAGCTCTGCTCACCCCACCCCTCTTTTCCGTGAAAGAGGAAAGGCGATTTGCAAATAATCATAAGAAATATAAAGTGTGGGACTTACTTCTTCTGGAGGTGCAGCTGTATCACAAACAGTGGGTACTGATCTATCCTGGAGTTTGAACTTTTTAGCAAAACCTGCCTTGAATTGTCCCTCGTTCAGAAAGCAGTCTGGAGTAAAATGATTCGCGCAAACAAACGCATTTAGGTAGATCAGGGGGCGCATTCCCTTCAAAAACAAAGGTAATCCACTGTGTCTCAGATGTCGGGAGTAAATGACAACTGCTTATCCATTGACATAAACATAGGCCTACATTAGCTGAACTCTGTCTGTTTTTACGTGTTGTTATTATTAACAAGCCATATTACAGATGCGTGGGTGGAGAACGGTACGGTTCGATTTTTTACCGAGAACCATTACATCCCTAGTACACACACTGCCAAGACACATTTTAGTTCAAACAAAGTGTAAAAGTGAATTTTGCATCCGATGTCCCCTTTAACTGGACTTAGTCCGTGTAATCAATAGTACTCACCCGGTCTGCCTGTCTTCATTGCTGAAGTAAATGAGTCGGGAGACATGGAAGAGGAGCTCAACAAAGTAATGCAGAACCAGCAACACCAGGCCCAACCGGTTCAGACTGGAAAACATATCATTAATAGTTTAAACATGAATGAAACTACTGTATTAATCTTTAAAAAAATGTCATTTCTTGCCATTATGCATACAGTCATGTCAACTTTACACCATGTCCTAATCAGGTGCAACAACAGCCAATCAAAAATATGTCAAAGTTTTGGGTCAGTAAGATTTTGTTTTGTTTTTGAAACCTCACCAAGGCTGCATATATTTGATTGAAAATACAGTAAAAACAGTAATATTGTGAAATATCATTACAATTTAAAATAATTGTTTTCTGTTTTAATATATTTTAAAATGTAATTTATTACTGTGATGGCATTTATTACGGTCATTACTCCAGTCTTCAGTGTCACATGATCCTTCAGAAATCATTCTAATATTCTCTTTTTGGTTATTGTTCTCAATGTTGAAAACAGTTGAGCTGCTGTTTTTGTAGAAACCATGAGACTTCTTTTCGGGTTTTTTTTTTTTTTGAGGAATAGTAAGTCCAATTTATGTGAAAATGAAATAGAAATCTTTTGTAACATAATACATGTCTTTACCATCACTTTTGATCAATTTAATGTGCAAATTTTTTTTATATAAAACTTGCCTGTACATTTTTGAAAGGTAGAGTATTTAGAGCAGGATTCTGGATCGATTAGATTTCATGTTCAAGTGAACGTGTAATTTATGTTTTAGCACAAAATGTGTGCCCTGACAACTGTTTATGACGATTAATAAACATGACATATTAATTGCTTACTTCAGAACGTAGGCTCCAGTGATGTGGACCAGGTAAAGGCTGATATAAACAAGCTGACGAGGAATGTCCTCCTGAAAAATAAAATAAAACAAAACATTTACTAAAACATCCAAAATAAATACTATCTCCTAAAACAGTTCCATATTCTTAAACTGTCATTGTGTATACACATCCAAAAATGTCCACAGTGATTGTCTATTGTCATTTCTTCACTGAATTTCATTTGGTAAACACTGGAAAGGGAAATCAGTCCGGTCACAATAACAGGATGCATGAATATGGTTTTCAGTGCATGTTGCACATCCTCAAACACTTTGCTTGCTTACTTTCTTGGTCTTCTGGAAGTAGAGCTCAGGGATAGCATGAAGCCAGTAACCAAGCTGACAGATGTAGTAGAACTTCATCTGGAACCTAAAACAAGATGAGCAACTTCTTTAGCATCTCCACGACTCTTGGAAGTCGAATGTCAATGATGTTTGCATTTGTAAGCTGTGTGTTACATACAGTAGATCTACAAAAATCAGAAGAGAGAATTAGAGGTAGGCTAATGCAAGAAAATTTGATCAGGAGCCATGAGAAATCTTTTGAATGGTCTTCTTGATGTGAACCAGCCCAGCAGATCAGTTTACCAAAGAAGATGCAACTTATGAGTGCTCATGCAGCAGATCGGCAGATGTAATGCGAGATGGAATATGAACCTCCACCATTTCACGGTCCACATTGAAAACACCCATCACTTTCCCTTCATTGATCAGCATATTCCATTACTTAAAATGTAACCATGCTATGCATTTAAATACATCTGCACTGTACTTACAGCATAAGGGTGTGCGGGTAACCGTCCCACAGGCTGACAGGGTTGGACAGGAGGTTCTCCTTCAGATGAAGCAGAACAAGTCAAATGAATCTTTCAGACACCGCTACAAACACGGACCTGCACACAAACTCATTTATATGAAGCAGAGTAGTGAAGCTCTTACAGAAACAAGAATGTTGGCTCCCCACAGGCAGGAGAAGAGGTAGAAGGCACCCAGCTGACCCGACTCGTTGAACTTGCTGTGCTTGGTTTTGGAGAAGTGCATCTTCCTGTTGATTTTCTGAACAGTCGTGGATAATAAAAAAAAAAAAAGGCAAAACATTTATTAGTATTAACAGTGTTGCACCAAAACACTATTAAGATACACATTAATATTTATGGACAAATGTCAGTTGTTTCAGCTAAAACGTTGAAAGTTTATTCAGTTTTCACAGGATACTTACATCCAGCATGTATTCCTGAATAATGGCGTGCATGATAATGGCAACTAACATGTAGAAGAAGACGGTGGCCACATCTTTCAGACCGTAATGGAAGTAATTCACTGTAGTTTCCTCTGAACCTCCTAAAATCCATGATACAAACAAAATGTAAGCATAAAAATGAACATAATGCGGTCTTATTAAAAAGCTTAATTGCATGATTGCACACTCATTATGGCCAAGTATGGTACCTTCTTGATTTAATTAAATCTAGACAGATATAACTGATTTGTTTAGCCGAACTCAAAACAGCAAGATAATGAATAACAGAACCAATGATCTCACACCTTACCGTTTAACCCTTTGGAAGTGAGCATTATTATTGCAAAATAAAAAGAGAGAATCAATGTAAAACAAAAATATGGTGTTGTTTTTTTTACATTATTGAGCTCGTTTTTATAAACGGCCACAGTAAGTGTCAGTGGCATCACTTATCAGTTCATTAATAAACATAATTAGAAGAGCTGTTAGACAAAAACTTGTCGGAACTAAACATCCTGATAATTTTTAGGTGTTTTAATTAAAACAAAAACAACAACGTAACAGAAAATATTAAAACTAGACAAATATAATTCATACTAAAGCTATACAAACAGACCAAAAGAAACTGGAGTACAAATTATATATATTTACTTAAATCTGGTTAGAAATGCCCATTAAGAGCAAAAAATCTGTTCCAGTAGTGTAAACTTCATTTCCCATGATGCATCAGCACTGACGCTGATATTTAGCAAACTATCGTCCAAATCTAACGGTTGTGCAAACTCGCATTCCTAACGAGTACTGAGAGAGTTAAATCATTAGGTTACTGTCAGTAAAAGCATTTTGGTGGCACAAATCGTGACCCTGCTGTCGCTGTGCAGCGGTGACAGCGAGCGCTCACTCGTTCTCCGATTGCCACGTAACACTTCACTTGCGCGTAAAAGTATCAGTGCAGCTACAATGTTACGTAATCATCTTTACAAATCAATTCTGTTATTCCGTTCAACACTCCTTTGCATTTAATAAATTCGCGCACGTGCTTTTTTTCTTCTTTTAAATCAACTTCCTTTAATCGCTTCATATGGAATTCCTCTCTCGCTCTCATGCATCATGTCTCTGTGAATCAAAATCCCCAACTATTTGAACGCAATCGGCAATTAGCGCCTGCGCTTGAGAGTAAAACCTGCGCTAAAATAATTTTTTATATGAATCATAAATATGCAAACGGATTTAAAAATGCTGCACATTAAAGGCAAAACCAAAAAGTAGCCCAACAGTTCTATCTGCAGTTAAAGGAAGTGAAAGGGACGAGACTATGACAGAACACGAAAGATGCGTTATATTGCTTATAGAAAAGGGGGAACAAAATATAAACACTGATTAGGCTGATTTGTCATCTTTGATTCCAAACTGGTTTTAAATCGGTAAGAGTGAATGAATTAATTCCAAATTCTCGTGGACTCTTACCTCAAACATAAGACCCAGCAGAAACACCATAGCAACACAAGACACAATATCCGCGTGGTTCTGGATCACAAACTCGTGGCTGAGCACCGGTGGGTTCTTGTTGTTCTTTTTTCGGATTCCCATCTTGGCGGATGTTGAGAGAACTTTTGTTGAGTGGGAATGAGGAACACGTCTTCACTTTTGTTATCTTCGTCTTCTTCTTCTTGTTAGTTTTATGGTGGATTGTAACCATGACTTATCAGGTGCATACCGCCACCTACTGTATCGGAGTATGCAGCATTGATTATACAGGTGCATCTCAATAAATTAGAATGTTGTGGAAAAGTTCATTTATTTCAGCAATTCAACTCAAATTGTGAAACTCGTGTATTAAATCAGTTCAATGCTCACATTTAACAAAAACCCATCAATTCACTATCTCAACCAATTAGAATATGGTGACATGCCAATCAGCTAATCAACTCAAAACACTTGCAAAAGGTTTCCTGAGCCCTCAAAATGGTCTCTCAGTTTGGTTCACTAGGCTACACAATCATGAGGAAGACTGCTGATCTGACAGTTGTCCAGAAGACAATCATTGACACCCTTCACAAGGAGGGTAAGCCACAAACATTCATTGCCAAAGAAGCTGGCTGTTCACAGAGTGCTGTATCCAAGCATGTTAACAGAAAGTTGAGTGGAAGGAAAAAGTGTGGAAGAAAAAGATGCACAACCAACCGAGAGAACCGCAGCCTTATGAGGATTGTCAAGCAAAATCAATTCAAGAATTTGAGTGAACTTCACAAGGAATGGACTGAGGCTGGGGTCAAGGCATCAAGAGCCACCACACACAGACGTGTCAAGGAATTTGGCTACAGTTGTCGTATTCCTCTTGTTAAGCCACTCCTGAACCACAGACAACGTCAGAGGCATCTTACCTGCGCTAACGAGAAGAAGAACTGGACTGTTGCCCAGTGGTCCAAAGTCCTCCTTTCAGATGAGAGTAAGTTTTGTATTTCATTTGGAAACCAAGGTCATAGAGTCTGGAGGAAGGGTGGAGAAGCTCATAGCCCAAGTTGCTTGAAGTCCAGTGTTAAGTTTCCACAGTCTGTGATGATTTGGGGTGCAATGTCATCCGCTGGTGTTGGTCCATTGTGTTTTTTGAAAACCAACGTCACTGCACCCGTTTACCAAGAAATTTTGGAGCACTTCATGCTTCCTTCTGCTGACCAGCTTTTTGAAGATGCTGATTTCATTTTCCAGCAGGATTTGGCACCTGCCCACACTGCCAAAAGCACCAAAAGTTGGTTAAATGACCATGGTGTTGGTGTGCTTGACTGGCCAGCAAACTCACCAGACCTGAACCCCATAGAGAATCTATGGGGTATTGTCAAGAGGAAAATGAGAAACAAGAGACCAAAAAATGCAGATGAGCTGAAGGCCACTGTCAAAGAAACCTGGGCTTCCATACCACCTCAGCAGTGCCACAAACTGATCATCTCCATGCCACGCCGAATTGAGGCAGTAATTAAAGCAAAAGGAGCCCCTACCAAGTATTGAGTACATGTACAGTAAATTAACATACTTTCCAGAAGGCCAACAATTCACTAAAAATGTTTTTTTTATTGGTCTTATGAAGTATTCTAATTTGTTGAGATAGTGAATTGGTGGGTTTTTGTTAAATGTGAGCCAAAATCATCACAATTAAAAGAACCAAAGACTTAAACTACTTCAGTCTGTGTGCATTGAATTTATTTAATACACGAGTTTCACAATTTGAGTTGAATTACTGAAATAAGTGAACTTTTCCAAGACATTCTAATTTATTGAGATGCACCTGTATCTCACTGAATGCACTTTACATTATAAAAAAAATAAAATAATTTTATAAATAAATATTATAGCACTACTATCTAAATCCTATAATATACCCCTGTATCCTTCAGATATTCCACAACAGCATCCTGTGCATCTTTAACCCCTTCTCCTGTTGTTCCCAAAACACCCTCAAGGTTCCATTTCCTTCCTGTCTGACTTATCTATTGGTTTAATCTAATCCTCTCTCTTCCCTATACTTCCTGCAATGCAACAATATATGTTCTGCATTTTCTGTGATTTTACATTCCATACATTCATCTGATTTACTTTTACCTAACAAAAACAATGTTTTATTTAACCCTGTGTGGTCAAACCTCAGCCTGGTTAGAACTGACTCCTCCCTTCTATTCCTTCCATTCACACCCTGTGCGTTGATATTATCCATGTCCCGTCTGTCCTGCCATTTCTTCATTATTTCTTTTTTTATTATTGCCTTAGCTTCTCCTTTACCAAGGGAATATTTATAATATCGCTCGCCCTGGTTGATTTCTTTGCTATTTTGTCTCACTATTGTTATCCGGCAGGGACGTCAGTCTTAACGCCTACTTCTGTCTTTCTTCTTCCAACCCCTTTTTTCAATTTAAGGCACGTTGTACAGTGACAAAAGATGCAGTAGCGCCATCTGTTGGACTGGAGTAAATGAGACGGTTTATTCATTTTCACCCAAAAATGAAATTTCTGTCATTAATTACTCACCCTCATGTCGTTTCAACCCCGTAAGACCTTCGTTCATCTTTGGAACACAAATTAAGATATTTTTGATGGAATCTGAGAGCTGTCTGACCCTGCATAGACAGCAATACAACTGAAATGTTCCCAAGTCCAGGGATGTAGCAAGGAGATCTGTAAAATAATCCATGTGACATCAGTGGTTCATCCGCAATTATACGAAGCTATGAGAATACTTTTTGTGGCAAAAAGTGACTTTATTCAACAATTCGTCTCCTCCGCGTCACCCTGTAGCGCCATTTTGGAGAGTATCAGCTGGACGTAAACAGCGTATGCTGTTCTGTGTCAGCCGCACCGCACGGATACGTTGATTTCGTTCAGATCAAATCACAACAACGTAGGAAACCGGCGTGACGCAGCTGAAACAGAACAGCATACGTTGTTTATGTCCAGCTGAAAAAATATATTAATTTGTGTTCCGAAGATGAACGAAGGTCTTACGGGTTTGAAACGACATGAGGGTGAGTAATTAATGACAGAATTAAATTTTTGGGTGAACTATCCCTTTAACGTCAAAGGCCCTTTTTAGTTTAGAAGGGAGGATACATAGTGAATTAAATGAATAACAATAAACAGAGATGCATGTACATTTAATAAATTATTACTAAACAGTAGTTACTAAACGCCATTATTACTAAACAGTAAAATATATAATATGTATTTATGAATGTATTTACATCTTTGCTTACATTGCAAAGACATTAAAATCGTCATTAATAGTTTAAAAAGTCATATACTTGGGTTATTTTGTAAGAGCAACATGAAACATTCAGCTGAATGTCAGCTTCTTAACTTTAGCTTTTGTTGAAGTAAACTTAAAATGTACAAACACACACACACACACACACACACACACACACACAATTGTAGGTAATATAATATTATATAATATTAATATATGTGACCTTGGACCACAAAACCAGTCATAAGGGTCAATTTTATGAAATTGAGATGTATACATAATCTGAAAGCTGAATAAATAAGCTTTCCATTGAGGTATGGTTGTTAGGATAGGACAATATTTGGCTGAGATACAACTATTTGAAAATCTGGAATCTGAGGGTGCAAAAAAAAAATATATATATATTGAGAAAATCGCCTTTAAAGTTGTCCAAATGAAGTTCTTAGCAATGCATATTACTAATCAAAAATGAAGTTTTGATACATTTACGGTAGGAAATTTATAAAATATATTCATGGAACATGATCTTTACTTAATATCCTAATGATTTTTGGCATAAAAGAAAAATGGATAATTTTGACCCATACAATGTTTTTTTTTTGGCTATTGCTACAAATATACCCCAGCGACTTAAGACTGGTTTTGTGGTCCAGGGTCACATATATGATATCATATTTTATTTATTATGCTACAGGTCAAAAGTTTGTAATAATTAAAACTTAAAAAAATATATTGTGAAATATTATTACAATAAAAATGGTTTCCTATTTTAATATATTTTAAAATGAAATTGATTCCTGTGATGCAAAGCTGAATTTTCAGCATCATTACTCCAGTCTTTAGTGTCGCATGATCCTTCAGAAATCACTCTAATAGGCTGATTATATTTTATTATTCATTTTTACATAATAATTGTGAATGCCCTGCTAATTTAAGATGGTGTTGTGGTATGTATTCTGAATCAAGTAGTTAAACAAGTAGCTTAAATCAGTAAACATGGAGAAAACTAGTTTTTAATAACAACCAAAGAGAATGTAATCAACTAAATGGGATGCAATGACCATAAAAAGCCTTTGCAACATGAAGTACAGTTACTTGGAACTCTGTTTCATTCTGTAAAACATGTAAAGCAGCATACCAGGCATTTCCTGTGTTTCATTTTTTGTTCACATTAACAACAGCCAAACACACATAAACACAGCACGTTGCCAGCATGTGGTTAGATGGTAGTTTCAGACTAGGATCTCAGCAATCACCAGAATGCACGGTTATTTCCAAGTCTGAAAGAATAGGAGGGCTGAGGAGATTGAAAATTGTTTTATAATTGTGAGAATGACAAACATTTCTTCTGTATTCAATGTGTCAGGGAATGAATGATTGCTGTATTTACTCATTGTTCCATCTCCTGCATACTGTATATCCAAAGAAGCATTTGGGTGTGTTTCACATAACACAGTAACTGATTAGTTCAGAAAGGGAGTGGTTTGCTCCGTCATCGGAATTATGAGAAATCATATGGTCTAGAAACCAGAGACTCGTCGTCACTGCTGATCAGAGCAAGAAGAAGAATGGAAACCCTGGTAAGTTCTGAATGTCACTTCTCACAATTTTAACATTTCCTGGCAGTTACTGAGAGTAAATGTAAATTAATATTACACCCGGGAACATTATGAAGTGACAGTTTATGGCTTATCTGAAAACAATAGCATACTGTATGATCTACACATTGCTAACCGCAATATAACGAAGCCTAGCACATGTATTTTGTCCTGATATCAGAGTTTACAACATGAAAATGGTATTTACTTGACTGATGTACTTTTCTTTAAAATAGTACATAACAACATGCTGCACTTATTATGTAAATTGCAAGACAAGCTTATTTTTATAGCACATATCATACACACTGAAAAGTGAAAGTGCTTTGCATAGACATGATAAATAAACAAATAAGTCAGTCAATTGAAAAATAGTTTAAGAACATAAAAAGGACATTTCCTGCCCTCTATGAAAATGTACTTTTAATGGATGGAATAGCCTATGGACAACAAATAAAGTTTTTCTTTAAATGTGACATGTGAATATTTTTTTTGGACTGAAATGAAGATCAAAATTTGTTTTTAAATGCTTTTAATAATTTGAATTAGTTTATATATTTTTTTTATGTATTTTCAAAAATATACAAAAATGTCCAAAACTATATATATTGGTAGAAAATATATTTATGCAAATACATTTTAGCAAATATATTTTTTGGCTTTTGTTGTTGTTGTTGTTGGGTGCCGTATGCGGGTGCAAGTGAAAATGTGGGGCTAGTTATTAAATAGGCAGTTGTTTTTGAAAACGTGTGCACATTTTGTACACATCTTACTTACATAATCATTCATCATTCATTGTGCAGTGACTTGTACTGGACAAAGTCCAGAACATAAATAGATAGTAGAAACACATTCAGATCAAATGAAAGTAATGGACACTTAAAGAACTGTATCAATAAGAATTCAAAATATTACAAAATTCAGTTCATTCATTCACTAATGCATGCTGTAAATCATATGTATTTATGTCCGTCTGTTCTGTCATTCAATACAGGTTATCAGTTTTGGATAAAGACATGAGGAGACTGAGTCAACCAGCTGTTCTCGTCTAAAGGCACCAAATGCCTGTCTACATATTCAGCATTAACAAGGACATTCTGCTATCAGTGTTCATCAAATGCCATAAATCATAATCATGACAAATACTGGAAAGAGATTTACCTGGTTTCGGTGGCTATGCACTGTTTTTGGACTACTTTTTTATTTAGCAGACATTGGATCAGACTTCTTGTTATCTGTGCAGTATTTCAAAAGTGGACATGTCACCTGGGCTGCACTGACTCTTATGTTTGTTCTGGTCGGATCTTTATGCATACAGATATTCAGCTATGCATGGTTCAAAGATGACAAGGAAAATTATGAAGAAGATGACAAGGGTGGTCTGTCCACTTGCCATCTTATCAGTTTACATGTACTGCAGATAGGCATTTTTACAAGGTAACTTCACGCTAATTTATCATTTAAAACGATTCTTTGTGGATCTAGTATTTCATATATTAAAATGATTTTTAAAAATCTGTCATCATTTACTCACCCTTATGTCTTTCCAAACCTGTATGGCTTTCTTTATTCTGTGGAACACAAAATATATTTTTCATCCATACAATGTGTATAAAAAAAAGCTTTTTTTGTGAAATTCATACAGGTTTGGAACTACATAAGGATGAAAAAAATGAAGTCTGAATTGTCATTTTTTGTGTGAACTGTGTCTTTTAAACAGGCATTCTCAGCTCTAGCTCTTGAGGTCCAGTTTCCTGCATAGTTCAACTCCAGCCTTGATCAGACTTACCTGCCAGTAATTTTATGGCAATCCTGAAGACCATCAGCTTGTTCAGGTGTATTTGGTTAGGGTTGAATCAAAACTCTGCAGGAAAGTGGACCTCGAGGACCAGAGTTATGAACCCCTGCTTTAAAATAAGGAGGAAAGCAAATGAAAGTGTAACATCTACACACTTGGTTGGTCTTCTTTACTCGTTAAACTTGTATTATTATTATTTTTTTTAATCACACTTGATGCAGACATTTACAACTTAAGTTCATCTGTTGACCTATCTGTTATTCTAAGGTATGTCCATCTCCTGAAGAGGAGTTTTAAAGCCCTGCGTTCGGAAGACACTCAAGAGGAGGAGCAGTTCCATCTTTTCGGCCTTGCTACAGATCTTAGCATGCTCCGCATGTTTGAGACGTTCCTGGAGAGCGTTCCTCAACTCGTTCTGCAGGTCTATATCATACTGGAGCATAACCATCGCTTTAATCTGCAATGTGAGTCCTGCAGATTAGATACAGTCATTACATGCACATCTGCACGTAAATGTAGTCATGGTTTATCATAAGAAAAAGAAATGTGATAAATACACTACCATTAAAAAGTTTGGGGTTAGTAGGATTTTTCTTTCATTTTTTAAAGAAATTAATACTTGTATTCAGCATTAAAATGTTAAAATGAGCGAGACTTTTATAACAAAACATGTTATTTCAAATAAATGCTGTTCTTTTAAACTTTCTATTCATCAGAGAATCCTGAAAATATACATCAAGCTTTCCACAAAAATATTAAGCAGCTGTTTACAAAATTGATAA